CGAAGAAGGGAATATCACAGACTTCGACGGTAGAACTTCCTATTTCCCTCTTAATGTTGTCTACAACAAAGAATTTGCACGGTTGGCATGGTAAATACTAATAATAATATTCATTAATACATAAAAATTTATTCTCATTCTTCCACCATGAACAGAACCGTCCTAAGCCCTCGTATTTGACGAGCCGTCTTGACTCTCCCAAGCCGGTTCTACCAGTGGTGGACTCTATTTTTAGTTCCCAGTTTTGTCTTAATGTGGGAATTTCCACCCCATCCATTTAGCGAGGCAGAGTGTTTGTCGAGACAACAATATAACGCGTACCTTACCCGAGAAATTGTATGGCTATCGTTACACTTATATAATTTACGAGCGTGTGAGTGATTTTGTAGCACGACACCCGACCACTTTTCGTGCTTTAATAAAACATCAGCCTACTGAGCATATGCACATATTAAAAAAGAAAGAAAAGAAATGCCTAATACTATTTTAAATCATTTTGTTATCCCTTCAATTCAGTATTTTTTTTATTTAAATGTTTGCATGCAAGTCTACCGCGTTAAAAATATTCCATTTAATACAACCCAATTAAATTAATCATGTTAATAATGAAATACACGCAAAGACTTTAATTGTGCCAGTATCTGTTCAATTGAACAGCAATTTCATTATTGCTCTAATATATATATTGGTCCCTCAGTCGATAAACATAAACAGACTTGTTATTGTTTCCTTTACAGAATATTTATGCAATTTGACAATGACTTGCCAAAACTGTTCATGATTGTATAATGAAGTTGTGAATCTCAGCACTTATGAAGAAGAACTTGACTGTGCTGATTTTATCTCACCTCAATCTTTTTCGTATCGTTTGATTCCGCTTTCTAACTGCACTTTTGGTTTCAATCCTTTTGGTGAGTGGTTGTGTGAAATTGGGCTTTTTTCCAAATCACCTGAGCACTTTGTTATGTCTGAGTCTTTTTTTGCTTATGTTTCAATTTGAAGTGTTTGTTGGCTTGTGTCTGCCTAGTGTAAGCTGTCTGTTTCCTCTTTTCGTTCTTTCATAATCTTTTCTTTGTGTGTTTCACTGTAACTTCTGTACCATATTTCTTCCTTTCTGTGCCGTTTGAGATATCTATTGTTTGTTTATTTAATTGTATTGTACAATGCCATGCCTTTTTATGCTGCTGCAACACCAACATTACCCAAATTGGGATCAATAAAGTCATTCTTATCTCGTCTTATCTTATCTCTGTTCCTTACAAGCCACCCTGGCACCTCTTGAGTCTTTGGTTTCATGTTAATAATCTGAAGGATGTTTTATGTCTCTTCCCAGGAATCGAGCGCCTGCTGCTGCTCCTCGGAGAGAAGCCGTCCTCCGTCAGTCCATCGGAGGGCGCCGCCTGCGAGCGAGTTCAGCAGAAAGCCGCTGTGACTCTGGCCCGGCTGAGCAGAGACCCTGAAGTCTCCCAGATAGCCATCCAGCTCAAAGGTAGGGCAGAAATTAGGATTCCCAATAACACTTTTGAGGATTCCTCCCTTCCGACGCCTCTTTATTAAAGCACTCGGTCGAGAATGTGTGGGTTTTGGGCCTCATTTGTATCCTGTGTGTGTGAAGGAAACATTAAGTTAGAATTCAATTTGCCATTGTGAGAAGAATAAAGTATTATTCTGCCTATATTCTTCTTCTTGAGAGGAATAAATATAGTGACGAAAAACTGGAAAACACAACACTTTGAAAACGAATAAAGGTCCAATAAACCCGGCTGGCAAAAAGTTAAAAAGCCTTGAATCAGTTTTCCTTTTTATGGAGAAATTCTTAAAACACAATCCATGCCTTAGGTGATTTAAAAAGATTCAACAAAACGTTGTCTTCCTTATCTCCTGTGTGACTAAACGGTGGAAGGAGACCCCGAAAATTGACTATATTTCAGACTTGTGCCACAGTAGGGAAGGGGTGAAACGTTTGGTTAAAGAGTGGTTCGGGAATATTGAGCATACGACTGGATGAATGAAGAATGTTCTGTTGTGTGAGAGAATGCAAATAGGGCTTTTGATATAGATTAGCTGCTGGTGCAAACGGCCCCCTGTAATTATTATCATTCTCATTATCAACATTTTACTCCGTTTTCGGGTTCCCTGTTCCTTGTACATGCATGCGTCAAAAACACAAGCATTTAATAAGAGATTAAATCAGCAATTTTCCCTGTTGTTGCAAATGCAGCTGCTCTGATGCAAGAAAAATGTGATCTGTCAATCAAGTGTTATCGTATCGTAGGTAAAAAAGGGTAATGCCAATTCAACAACTCCATGCCACAAAAGTGTCTTATTCACTGCATGGTAGTTGGATCCTATTCGTCATCATTCTTGAGGGACTTAGTGAACAAGTATTACATTTCTCCTTATTAAACGTTTATTGACGTCTTAATCTTCTTACATTTTCATCAACATCTGAAGTGTTTCTACTCAGAATGTCTAAGCGATTGCTGTCTCTGTTCACCTCTGTTTATATTTGATATCAAAAGGGAACATTTGTAACGTTTCTTTTTTCCCCTCCGCTGTCTGTAGCTGTTCCTCGTCTCATTGAACTGTGTCGCTCCCCCACTGAGAGAAATAACAGCGACTCAGTGCTGGTCGCTTGCCTGGTAGGTACAAAGTGTGTGTGTGTGTGTGTGTGTGTGTGTGTGTGTGTGTGTGTCTGTGTGTGTGTGTGTGTGCGTGTGTGCGTGTGTGTGTGTGTGTGTGTGTGTGTGTGT